GCAACTTTAATATTTAATAACTCGAAAATTATTGCGAATATCGCAAAATGGTATGACATTTTCATTTATCTCGCTCCCATCTACCTTCTCACGAACGATGAAGACAGTGCTACGGGACACCCTGTATGCGTGTATGTGTGTGTGTGTGTGCGCGCGCGCGCGCACATACACACAAAATTGCGCTCTTCATTTCATGTACCTTGTGTCTGTCACGTCGGTGTGGTTGAGCGTTAAATGGAAGACCAGACGGAGGTGGTGGCTGCGTGATCTCCATCAAAGCAGGTGGAATGTAAATAGGATAAGGCGGAATTGGTACGCTTTTCCCCCAGCCTAATTTCATCTCGTATTGCATTATGTCACGACCTACATCGTCATTTTGAAGTTATATATTTTTAATATTTCCATTACACAAATTGATTACAAATTACGGAGTAATTATAAATATAAATATATTGACATAATATTCAAAATATATATGTAATAAAATATGCAAGATACATAATACAGATTATATACACGATAAATCAACAAGAAATTATATGAAATAACTTGTAATGTTTTAAAAGCATCTTCGTTTGATTCTCACCATTAAGATTTTTCAACGCACGTTCTCCATCCTTGCGACTCATGAATGCAACGAAACCACAATTTCTTTGTCTAGCTTTCTCTTCATCACTACGCGGCCACATTATTTTTATACTAGCCAATGGACCATACTTGCCAAATATCTCCATCAATTGTTGCTCTGTGATCTAGAAAGATCAGAGAAAAAAAGATTACTGTATCATTACATAGTGACAATATAGTGGCAATATTATACTTTACCTTTGGATTTAAATTTCCCAAGTACAAGTTTGTAGTATTTGGATCACCGTTGTCAAATGAACCATCTGTAAAGCAAAAAAACTTTAACATATCCTATAATTGACATAGGGAACATGGAAAAGGAAGACATATAGGAAGGACAATGGTTACCCTCATATATCAGGGCTAAGAGACGGGGATCATCAATGAAGTTATGCAGATTAGCCTTTCGCGGATCCGGAAATGAGGATTTACTACCTACTAAAGTTATAAGTATGCTACAGATTTAAATACTATTGTGATAAAAACATATCGCCATGTTTCATTACAAACCAATTTTATATAACAATTACACAAATTGTAAACATATATTATAATTTAGTTAATAATATATTTGCACGCATATACGTAAATACGTGCGCGCGTGTATGTGCTGTGTATACATATACATATCTACCTTCCACACATTTTAAAGCAGCCAACATTGGATCCTCGGATTGTGCAGATATTACAGTTTTCACCACACCCTTATACTTGTGCCTCTCCTCTCGTTCTTCTTGGATCATTTTCAATTCCTCTTTGAATAATTCAAGATTACTCTTCTTCTTCTCACCCTCTTTCTTCTTCTTGCCAAGCCTATCTAATTTTCGTTCGTTTGTTCCAAGTAATCTTGCATACTCTTGAGCTTGTTCAGCTGACGATCTGTTATCAACTAATTCTGAGATTTTTGATTGTGGCTTATAAAGTTTTCCTTTCTCTCTCGTGTCTTCCTCTATAAAATTAATAATTCATATAAATAAAATATTCTTAAAATTTAGATAATACAAATTTCATATTTACGTCTTTTTCCAGCATCATACGTCCCTGCTTTAACCCAAACTTTACTAGTTGTTTTACTGGGTGTCTCCTGAAATGTCGCTACAAATTCCTCAAATGCCTATAAATAATATATATAATCATTTATACAAAATAAATATTATCTCGGGGAAACAACTGTTATACATAGCATTATTTACCTGAGCCGCAGCTTGCTCCTGTTCTTTTTTACGTTGTTCTTCCAATTCTTTCTTACTCAATGGTCGTTTACCCATAGTACCGATAGAAAAAGCTTTGAGCTTTTGTTCTGCGATTTGCTATTAATACAAGTTACAAATTTAAGAAAGCCCAAATATGTATAAACGCAATTCCGACGATTAAAATTATAAAATTATAACTAGTAAAAACTAATAGAAATCAGCAGACACGATAGTCTCGGATATCAAGTAAAACTTACCTTCATCATAGCCTTATCCGCCATTTGTAAGGGAATACTCTAACCTAAAAGAGGAAAAAACGAAAAGAACGTTACACAAATTATCGGCATAAATTCAATCACTATAATAATGACATATTCACATATTATAGCTGTAACGTTATATATATCTGTCATCAAATTTTGAATTCATTCAACATAATGTATGTACAGCGTTGTACAGTAGACACTAATTTATAATCGTTGAAAGATAGAAAGCATTCGATAAAATAGCACATGCTGCAGGCGAGATAATTATAATAATTATGATAATTATAATTACACTAACAATTGATTTTTAAGAAACATAAAATTATATCTCACGATATTGAATGTGATTGACAAACGTGCACTTGCGAAGAAAAATAATAAAACAGGGCATCGATCACGTATCTTTCAGTGACATAGTTCACCTTTAAATTTTCACCGATGGCCATCTCACGGTACCATCGTTTGTCATTTTCACTGCGATCACGCAGCAAAAGAAATTATTAGTGACATAACTAGAAGTAGTAAAGACCTATTTACATCAAAATATTTCAAAAACATTGAGGCAACTGCACGACTGTAAATATAATCTTAATATTTAGCAAAATAAGGAGATACGAACTTAGGAATAGATATTCCTATCCGTGCAAAGAAGATAAATACATCAACAGCAATAAGGAAGACAATTACTAATAAATAAGTTGCAACAATTTATTAATTTATTTGAAATACATAAACTTTCATTTAAAAAATTTCTCTATTTCAGTGTCTGTATTTCAAACAAGAACATAAGAGGTAAAGCCAGCAGCACACGATGCTTTTTTTTCTGCTGATTTGCTAGCTGAATTTGCGTGCTCGTTGAGCTCTTGTCTCTGATTGGTATATTCTTTCGAATCTAAAAAAATATACCAATCGAAGAATTCAACAAGCACGCGAATCCAGCTAGCAAACTAGCAAGAAAAAAAGCATCGTGTGCCGCTGACTTTAGTCAGCTTTGAGAGCTAAGTCCGCTTATAAAGATGTCCAAAGTGATGAGCTGCAATTCATCGAAAAGTATGAGTCGTTAAATGAGTCTGCATCTAACGAAGGAGTCTACACATCAAATTTTGCAGGAAAAACATTCTTTAATCATAGAAACTACAAATCACAATTCAGGTAATGAAGCTGATAAAGAGAATATAAATGGCGGAAATGATATTTTAAATGTGATATTAAGCCAGCGGCACACGATTGCCACGGCATTTATGACTACTCTCAGGCTTCTCTCTGCTACTAGTAAAAATAATAAAGTTGGTAGCACTGATATAAAGATCGGCATTAATAGGGTATATTAGAGAGAAGTCTGAGAGTGGTCATGAATGCGTTTTAAGGCCTCTTTCACCAATCTTCGATTAAGTTAACCGACGGTTAACCCGCAGGAGTGCCAACTGTAATTTAATGCTCAGAAAGTAATGTGTGTTCTTTAACCTAATATTCTTTTCGTGTGTAGGTATCTTGGTAGGTAAATGAAATTGTAAGTAATATCCGATAATTAATGTAAATAAAAATTATTAAACAATCGTTTAAATAAAAATTTTAACTTATCTATAATAAACAGTTTAGGTCTCTCTAGTTGTTAGCAGTCGTAATGGTCGAGACCTAACCGTCGATTAACTTAACCGAAGATTGATGAAAGAAGCCCTTAACTATACCACAGTATAAGAAAGAACAGTAGGCTCACTATGTCAAAAAGCGTACTAATAATTGTCCCTCGCGCATGACCGTTTTCCACAATCAACAATATGGTCTTTTGGCGTCTCTTAGCAGTCAGTCGCGCTCCAATACTGCTCATACACAAATCAATGCGTAAATATAAAAAAACATTAATTTAAAATATTTAAGAGTGAATAACAACTATAATTATTAATCAGATAATAATTTTAACTATTAAATCAGTGAAGAATTAAGTTCAAAAATTAAAATAATTATTGTGCAAGATGTTTGAAATAATAATAAAAAAAATAAAAATAATGATTACAGAATTTTTTTCATTCCTGAATAATATTCTTTCTTCATTATCAATTATAATTTTGAGCACAAGATAAGCAGGATATTTTTAATAATAATTACTTTTCCATTATTCCATATAAATTTAATTTATATAAAATTTTAAGGTTAAAAAAGTAATTATGCAAAATACAGACATATATAGTGTGTGTGTGTGTGTGTGTGTGTGTGTGTGTGTGGAACCAAATGTTAAAAAGGTTAAAAAATTAAAGGTTAAAAAAATTAAACGAACTTATTCTCTAAATCGTTGTATTTATAATTACAATTATTTCTCAATTGCAATACATCTAATATGTTCACTTTAGCTAACGCATATTAATTTACATTGTAGCCCGCGCAGAACCAACAACATGGCGGTCGTGTAACATTCAGATCAAAGATGCCGCTGAGAAATTATTCTACTGTTCTTTCTTATACTGTGGCTGTACCCATATTTGCATAGGTAATATGCACGTTTTTGTGATTCTCTTCCATGCTAGCCGCAAGAGTGATAAAGATAGACACTTGTGTCCAGATTAGACGACAATTTCCCGAAAAATGGAGGGGATCATGTTGGTACGAACAAAATTCTTTAAACGAAATAATTTTAGTTTCTGTGGATTAGTAGCACTGTTCAAGTAATAATTTGTTGGTTTGCACATCCTTTTTGACATATGCGCGGGCATGTACATACGTAATAAGTATTATATATCAGAATGTAAATATAAAATATATTATAGCATTATATTAAAATAAAATTAAATAAAGATAAATAAAGACAATAAGTGAAAATATAATAAGTGAGAACATAAAGTGAATAAGGTGAAAAACAATGATAAATATTACATACATTAATGATAAATATAACATACATTAAACTAAATTCTACGAGAAAGAAAGAAATATACACCATCTCACTCTAACCAATAACGTGTTTTGGTAGATTGAAAGAAATATACTTATCTCACTCTAATCAATAGTGATATTTCTTACTTTACATGTGCATTGATTTAAATGTATTGTGCATGTGTATTAAACAGATGGAAAGCATGATAATATATTATTAAATAATAGAAATATTAAAATTACAAAATATAGTTATAAATTAATTAATTGTGATAAATCAATATAAAAAATGAGTGGATGTTCATTCTTTTACTTAAATTTTATTTTATATTGTAATAAAGTTTATAACTGATGTAATAAAGTTTGTTTATAATAATAATAATAAATATGTATAATCTTTCTAAAAAAAGGGATGACATTGATTGTATCTCTCAAAATTTCCTCAAAGTTTATTGTTGACGCTTTTTCGTGATGGATTCTCTCGTTGCGCTAATTTTGTGAATAGTTATTATATTGATTTCATAGAGAATCGTTTTAAAAATTGTGTATCAAAAAGTTAAAAATATAGTATTATAGTGTAACAGTAATATAATAGTATTATATTAACTTTTGCTCTTGTGTTGAAAATTATAAATAGCGAAAAAAAAGATAAATAAAAAAGATAAATAGTAATAAATTTAAAATCCTTAATATTAAAGGGAATATATTAATAAATACGATATATTAATAAATATATTAATAAATTGGTAATATAATTATGTAAAATATAATTTTATAAATATATACATTTTATTACTTTCAAAACGCTTTTTTTAAATTATAGTATTACAATTTAAGATTAATGTAGTTAATGTATTTGAAAATAAGTGGGAATAGCCAAAAGATGGCGGACCAATTAAAAGTTGCTTTTTCGTGACCAGTCTCTTATTATAGGCTGCGTTCAGCAGAGAAAACAGATCAGCGAGCGTTCAGTGATTCTTTATTATGATTGGTTTCTACATTCAACGAAGATCTAAAGACAAGGACCAATCACATTGAAAAATCACTGAGCGCTTACTGATCTGCTTTCTCTGCTGAACGCCATAGTGTCTCTACTCTCTGGGGGTCAATCATGTAACTTTACGTGAAATTTTTCACTTTTTATTTTTCACATCGACATTTCACGTAAAACTTTTCACGTACAGCGATTATGTATGTAGTTTGGATGCATGGAAAGTGAAATCATGAAACATAGTTTCATAGGTTTTATAATTAATGAAAATTATTTTATTGGTATTTTATTATTTTATTGGTATTATATACATCTTTTAATAACCAATTTTATATGTATTACGTACACTTAATTCTAACGCAGCCCTAATCTTCTCTAATTCCGAAGCATATTTATTAATTCTCTAGATTTCCACCTTTCCGCCACCAAGATACATAACGAAAAAGTTCACGTGAAAAATTTCACATTTTCACGTTTGAGAAAGTTACATGATTCCGCAAAATCGTACATGATCGTAAGTTCACGTGAAACTTTTCACTTTTCACGTTCCGCCCTAGGGAAAAAGTTACATGATCGATCCCCTGGATATATATTCATATGGTATAAATGGTGATAGTTTAGCTTATTTTTTTTCTAGATGTTGGCTGCCATGTAACTAAACCGAGAAGTGTTCCAAACCTATCATAATTTGTAAAGATGGCGAAGATGTTTCATTTGGAAATTCAAGACATAATACGTTTTTCTCTGCCTTAACCTAGGTCTACGTTTATGGTAAACATAAGCGCTTACGTCTCGTTCTCTGCCATCAGCCAAAATCTATAATATACGTGAACTATATATTTTCAGTACTGGCAGTGAATATTGGAACACAGCCTGGATAATTTTCCTAAGATTTTGACTACATAATCGGTATTATTCGGCAACTACTTGAACTGTCGGCTCTTTCTGAAACGAGACACGCGTAGGAATTGTCAAGTATGCTTTATTTACTACAATATCCGTTAAAAGTTTGGTTGTTTGTGAGAAATAGCGAGAAAGTGGATAATTGACCAAAAGCTATAATTTATTAAAATCAAATATACCTCATTGTATTCAATTTTTGCATATATCGTATGTTACGAGTTTATACATTTTATACATTTTTCGTTAAAATTAGCTATAATTCATCCATTTTCTATAATTTATATTTATATTTGGTTCATGAAACGTAACTTTTAGATATACTTTCTAATCAAACGAGATTGATGTCCGCTCATATGATGCTTATTTTGATATTATTGATAGCTTCAAAATTACATTTTGTTATGTTTTAGACTGTCATGATGTTTTTTCATATTTAATTTACTAGATTATTTCAATTGTGTTATTTAGAATGTTGATGCCAAAAAAGAATCGTGTGGCTATTTATGAGTACCTTTTCAAGGAGGGAGTCATGGTAGCAAAAAAGGACTATCATGCGTCCAAACATCCAGAGTTAGAAAATATTCCTAATCTTCAGGTTATTAAAGCTATGCAGGTAAAAATTTTTGCTACTTTTTTTATATTACATGTAAAACAAGATTTTATTACAATGTATATTATTGTTAGTGTCATTATTTGACATGAATATAAAGTTTCCAGTGCATGTATTACATATCTGTAGATTACACACATACACACATACACATACACACACACATTATATATATATATATATATATATATACATACACAAATTATTTTCAAATTATTTTTCTTATCTTTTAGTCTTTGAAATCTAAAGGATACGTAAAGGAACAATTTGCATGGAGACATTTTTACTGGTATCTTACAAATGATGGTATAGAATATTTACGTGGATATTTACATCTACCACCTGAAATTGTACCCTCTACCCTTAAGAAGCAACCAAGATCCGAAACTACGAGGCCAAGACCTGCCACAACTAGAAGCGAGGGTTCGAGATCAACGGAGGATCGTGCAGGATATAGACGAGGTCCAGGTGGTCCTCCAGGTACCGGTGATAAAAAGGCTGATGTTGGCGCAGGTACCGGCGATCTCGAATTTCGCGGTGGCTTTGGCCGTGGAAAAGCCCTTCAATGATTTTCTCTTTTTTTAATGTAAAATAAATATATTAAAAAAAAAACGCTTTTCTCTTGACTTTATACACGAATGATTTCAACTATATACTTGTAATAAGCATTATATGTTTAAAAAAGAAAAAAATATGAAATTAAGTTGAGTCAGTTTCTTTATTATTCGATACATTATAAATCGGCTGCTTATATTATTACTTTGCTTCGAATAACATTTGTTCTTAATTTCTCAATTTATAACTTATTTATTATATGGAAGCAGCGATTGCAAGAATGAATATTGTAAAGAATTATAATGCATTTCTAAATTAGACTCTTTTTAAGTGAGGAACAAATTCATTTTATCCTAATTGGGATTTAGGATCAGTCATCACAGATTTTTGTTTGTACTTCTACACCAAAGAGTACAAGTAATTTTTACAATTGCAGTTCTCGTCGAGCTTATAGTCGAGTCTAAATAAATGTTTCTAAAGTCTGCGTAAATGTTGCGATTCAACTAAAAACAAAATCTTTGTATTATGTAAAGTGTTACAATGTAGGTTTATATAGTAATAGATGCAAGAAGATAACTGACTTTTATGTGTACTTTTACATATGCTTCAAAACATAAAAAATTTACTGACATGATTTTTAAATTTAATTTTTATCTATATTTATAAACTATTGTATGAACAATATTTGGTTATTTTGACTATCGATTTTATCGTTACAGAGAATAACTACTTATATTAAATTAGATATTACGCTAATATTAAATTTATAGATAGCAAACAAGATTTATAATCATAAATTAGAGCATAAAACTTGTATCACTTAAATCTCGTTTTGAGAAATATGAATTGAAAGATACATTTAATTTATATTTCTGACAGAATAAAATCTGCGACACACAATGGATATCTGATTCACGTATGTTTTAGTCCTTCTATTCTGGAATCTATTCTGGAGTTAGATCAGATTTGATGAATTATTATTACAGAAACTTTAATTTCATATTTAACATTTATGTATTTCAATTCCGATTTTGTTATACACATCTAAACCAATCGATATATTTTGTTTCAACAAGGTTTAATTAATTCGCCATATTTTCTAATTTAGCTAGCATGTTTCATATATCACTTTGACAAATGTATTGTATTATGTGAATGCATATTTTGGTGAATATTCTGTTAAGGTTCTGTAATTTAACAAAAATTATATTCATATAATATCGATTAAAAAACCACTTTAAATATCGTTTGTAACAAGTATTTTAATAAAATGAACAACTCTATATAATTATTGATAATTGATTGCATCTTTTAATGCATACTGCATAAGAAAGAATTGGGATCCTGTTCAGAAATCACACTGTTCAGTAGTCACATTTAGAATAATTTAAAAGAGACATTAAAAATAAACTATAGAGAAACTATCAAACGATATGAATAAATATAAAAGAAATATGCAATTAGGCTGTATAACTTTCAGTTTCCATTTTATTATAACAAATCCATTTTATTAATATATGAATTAGCATTTTTCATATATTAACAAGTAAAAGCTATATATGACGCTACAATCTGGAAATTTGTTTTGCTCTTGTTAACAATTGCGACAAAATCCTAGCATCTACGTTCAAATCTCATCGAATATATTTTATCACATTTTTGCTTATTTGGAATTCCATGATTCAAAATCTATATACATTCAATATGAAAATGTCCAACAGAACATTACAATATTGATCGATTGAAACTTTTGACAAAATTAGTCTAGAAGATCAATTTTGTTAAACTTCAAAATTGGAGTACTACCTAAAAGATTTGTTGCTTTCATTATGGATAAAAGATACTGGCAGATTAAAAAGCTGCTTTGATATGTTCTACCACAGCATGGAGAGGAGGAAAATGGAGTTGAAGGAAGAAAAGGAGAAAAACTCGCGCGCATAGCAATGAAAATGGAGGGAGGAGGGGAGGGGAATAATTAATTTTCTAAATATTGTGGAGTTAAACACAGACAGCGATCTTATCCATTGTCGCATCTTACTGTGTCACAGTTTGTGCTCCAGAGCAGACAATTGCCTATTCCACTGTAGCAAATGAGGAAGACAGCAGCGAGGAACACAAGGCTGCAAATCGTACAGGGCTTACGTTCCAGGAAGAACCCGATCAAATAGAGCGCCATGAACATGACGTGAGTTTGCAGCAACGCTGGATTTACAGGTTTTGGTATCAACAGCACCGGGATTAACCACTGTAGGCAGTACATTCTCTCTGGATCATGTGGGAAAGTCGGAGGTATACTTGCGACGTCTCTCACGTCAGCCGACTATCTCGTCTATGACAGGATCTGCAGGAAATAATAAATAACGGTAGAGTGCGGTAACCCGATGTACCCAATAATCTGGATGTCTATTAAAATCTATAGAAACCGTTATTAACCTCATTCGGAAGCATTGTCGTTCGCAAGTTAATTCGTCTTTAAAGTTAAACGTTCATATTTTGCTCTGACTCACAAACGATCGGCCGATCGCAGCCGATGCACCAACAATTTCACAAAATTTCAAAGTTATTTGACAAGCATGGACGAAATGAATGTATGATGTCGCGATGATATATGTGTACCTTATTGTAGATCTGTGATCTACAATAAGGTACACATATATATCAGATTACCTAATGCAGTCATTTGGTTCTATAAATGTTTTGAAGAGTTCGATTAACCAATCAGAACACAGAATTTTATGAATTGACCAATCAAAAAAT